CAGATCGTTCTCGAACACTAACGCGCTGGTCCGGCTGGTCGGTTCTAGCCGATTCTAGCTTGATGGCGTCAGCGGCAGATCGCTCACCGCAACGTTGCCGCTGTTTATGTTTAATATTATGACAATTAGATTTTTTTGTGGAATTTTCGGAAGCTTCTCTGATTTTTGCAGTTTGTATTTTTTAAATTAAAATCGTTGTGAGAGCTACCAGAATTGCCTCCGCGAGCTACCGGTAGCTCGCGATCGACAGGTTGGCGACCACTGGATTAGAGAAACTGTGACAGATACATAAAGTTCCAGGTCGTCTGCAAATAGTAACATTCCAAGCTAGTCTTCAAGTCATCGATGAATACTGTGAATAGCAGAGGTCCAAGATTCGAACCCTGCGGTCCTACAGATGACAAAAAATAATAAGTAGAGAAGAAAAAAACTGTTATAAAAACATAATTGACCCTGCGTGGAAGGTATGAAGAACATGTTGGCGTATAATGAATCTATTGGGGGACAGTTTCCCATCACCAGAACACCAGCGTTTCGCCTACAAAGTTAGCATCTTCGGGAGACGATTAAAACCACATTATATCGTGATGGTTCTGTCTTGGTCTTAGTTTAAACTACTTCATTGGTCAACCTTCAATCAAAAAAGCCTTCCAACAGCTAACTCAAATTATCTAAAGGAACAATTAGTTCATCTACACTGTAGGTTAATGGACTGACACCTATCAGAAAACAACTACTCCCTTGGCTAATACAACGAATTTCATTGTGTTGCTTCCGACAGGTGTCAGAGTAAGATTCTTCACAGAAGAAATTCCCGAATTTGCTGTTGGCTATTCTACTATCAGAATAGACTCTCAATTATTGGAATGAGCACACTTGCAGACCGGTTTCAGGCTATTTGGCCTCACGTCAGTGCAAGGTAGTGGCTATCATCGACTTAAAGTTGATAATATTCCACAATTGAAAATCTAATTCGATTCAGAGTATCATTCCTCGAACAAGGCTGCTGCGAACGACGAACAACATATTTGTCATCGCTCCATTAGCCCGTGAACGAGGTACTAACCAACGGCATATCCGAATCGCACACATAGTAAGGGGGCATACTTAAAGATCTAAGATACTCACTAAATCATTACTGATCCCGTTCCTCTCTCCTCTACAACCCACACCATTCTCCCTGGCCCCGCACGAATTCTTTTTCGAAAATTCATCGTCACTATCACAGTTCAAACCTATCTCACTATAAATCCTGTCTCCGGCACACAAACCGTTCGCCTCCTCGAAATACCGGCCCCCTTCCGGCACGCACATGGATTTCGGCCTGACAACGTTACCGGGGGCGCGTGATAAGTTCGCGCGAGCACTCAAGTCCTCCATGCTGGTACTGGCCTCCTTAGTGAGCCTCGGAGGGAAGCCGGAGTCGTGGTTGTTTCGGGTCATACCGAGCCATCTTCGGGGTATCGTCCCGTAGCCGTCCGCGGTGGATTCCGATCTGAAAGAAAAATAGAGCGATGACTGCAAGATTACGTTTCCAGGTTACAGGAAGGAAGAACTTGGGTTTGTGGCTAGATGCTGATCTGAGATTTCACAAACATATAAATTCACTTTGACGTAGCTCGTACAGTATCTTACATCAACTCTATCAAAGTAGAGATATTATGACTTCCAAATTGGAGTTGAAACTTTGCGAAACCCTCATATCTAGTCTAGAGTGGCATATTGCGATATAATCTAGGGGCCTGCTTTGATACAAAGTGATCGCTTACAAAAAATACAAAGCAAATGGATTTGTCTTTCTCATGGTGTGAGAAAATTCGACCATATATCCCCCAAATTCGAGGAGTCAGGTTGGTTACCGATTGCTAAAACCTGTCAGTTCCACCTACTCGTCAATACACATAAATTCCTCTTTTACAAAAAGCCTAATAATATTTATGCGGGATATAAAACTTTCGATTCTCAGAATAATTCGAAGACACGAAACCGTCACACTTTTTTACCGATCGCGAAAGAATAGCACCTAAAGGCTGACTTTCTATCAAAATGAGGATAGATGTCAATCTTGCTGAAGTGCCCATCAGTAAGTTGAGGACCGCTCGGAGAGCGTGGGTGGAAGGAGTGGGGTAGTAGGTTCTCCTCGCTAACAAATGGGGGGGGAAGCTCCTACTTCAGGGCACTCAACCTGGAAGGGGGCATGGGGGGGCGTCACACTTTTATTATTCCAAAACACTCGACATGTCGCCGAGACGGTTCCCGGAGCGGTCCCAAAAAGGTACCCGGCTGGGCGTGAGTTTGCAAGAGACCTCTTGCTCCTAGGTCGCTCGTCGCAGGCAGACCAGAGCCGGCGGGTGCTAGGCCACCGGAGGATCTATTTCCGTATGTATCGTCGTCCTCGAAGATTAACTCCCAGTCCTGAACGCCTCGCGTCCCCTGCATCGTCGCAGATTTCCGGGGCAAGACCTTCTTTTGTTTACACCACAAAGTCTCGAATTTATTATTAGTATACCCTAAACTTTCTAGCTGTCTAACAGNGTTGGTGTCCAAATCATCCAATTCAGGCCCAAAGAAGTTTGTATTCATCGACGTATAGTGCTTGCCGTCGACAGTGATGGCCTGGCCAACATCTGGCCAGTAGTGAGACTGCTATAGTGTTCCCAGATCTGAAGCAGGTTCTGATGTTATACTTGGACCCAATCCTTTTTATCCTTTCCGATGATCCTCTGATGTAGAGAAGTACAAGTACTGGTTGTGGCGGCTTCTCTTCCTTGTGGAGCTCTTGCTGTCTTCTAGCTAAAGCCTATTCTACCATCTCTCTGGAGTAACCATTCCGTTGAAGGTCATTTTTGATGATGCCTATTTCTTTTTTGAGACCTTCCTTTGTATTACAGAGCTCGAAAGCACGGTCTAGTAGAGCCTTGATTAATTCCTCTCGTAGTCGATTGATGGTGGTCGATATACAGATGTTTCCCATTTAGTGTCGGTCCTCTTCACCAATACGTCTAAGAAAGGCAATTCGTTGTGGACTTTCTTCTCCATTGTGATGGAAGGACTTACGTTGTTGATGTGCTTCAGGAAAGTGTCTAGTTCCGCATTCCCATGGTTCCATATTATGAAGGTGTCGTTTACGTATCTCAACCAGACTTGGGGCTTCTTGTGGGCTTATTTGATGGCCAGAGTTTCGAACCACTCCATATATAGGCTATAACCGGTGACAGTGGCGATCCCATTGGCAGGTCCTCATCTTTAGATAACTTCTTCTGTGTGATTTGAAGTGCTTCTTCGAAAGGAACGTTGGTGTAGAGGCTTTCCACGTCGAAACTGATCAGTTGATCCTGCTCTCTGACTTAGATTTCCCCTAGTAGTTCAAGAAAATGCCTTGAATTTTTCACAAAAGATGATGTTTTCCCTTGCAGTGGTTTAATTATTGGTAGTAAAAATCTGGACAAGTTCTGAGTGGCTGAATCTCTGGAGCTAATGATCGATCTGAGCAGAACATTCTTCTTGTGGATACATGTAAGTGTGGTGCGGTCTTAGCGATTATCTCTCTTTTTCCGGAAAATAGACTTGGTGTTTTTTCAAAGTCTGGTACAAACTTTCTTTCAATTGATGTAGAAGGGGTCTCTCACGATCTTCCTGTATTTTCCTTTCTAAAGCACCTCTTCGATCTTCTGTTCGTAGAGATCAGTATCCCTCACAACAGTAGCGTTTCCCTTATCTGCAGGTAAGATCTTGATGGTGTTGTTTACTTTCTAATACCGTGATAATTTTCAAACAACTACCGCCATATCTTACGCGCTAGAAAATAAAAATGTTTGTATGAATATGTTCTACATGGGCTAGTGTATCACCCCCTTAAAGGTTTGCACCCAGCTACCAAACACCCTGGAAACGTTTAGAGACTATTCTGACAACTGCAAGGGTTGATCATCTACCTAAAATATATAGAAAAATTGTTGATGCACGAACCTGATGAACCATCACACTGAAACAGCTTTGACGTAAATAAAGCGTAGGTACTTAAGAATGAAAACAATGGTATGACGACTTAATTCGAATTAAATATACACTGTATGATCACTGATGCCCACCCAAAGACTGTCACGCAAATCTTCATCTGAGCAGCCCATTCAGATAAATACCCGCAATTATTTTGAACAACAAATTACGTAATTCGATGAATCTAATCATTGGCTATTCATTCGAGTATGGAAATGCGTTTTTGCGGATGAACACAATGAAAACTTGAATAAAGAAATCAGGATTTATCGGATGAAAAACGATTTGACTGACTAGGTGTTCCCAGTTCCCAGAAATGACCATAAAAAAATATTGTCAAAAATATGGATTTACAGAATATTGAAGATAGTTTCGGAAAGTTGCACAAATACTTTTTTCGAAGATACTGGGGATGATATAGTGTGGCTGAAGTTAGCTTTAGATTTAAATCCGATTCCTTCAATTTTACAGTTGACCAGATGAATAATGCTCATAATGATAGTTTTTCGAAATATGTCTACTTCACAATGAATTTTCGATGTAGAAATGCATGATTATATCACGCATATTGGGATTTCGTCGTCACCTCATCTTTGCACCTGCGCTAGTGATTAAGAGGCTTCTATTATGCATTTTTTATTTTTATTTTAAAAATAATTGAATACGGTTTAAACAATTCGATTCCAAATAAAGTCTAGAAATTGGGAAAGTTTGCCTTCTTCAAACAAAAAATCAAATCTTTCCTCTTCATAATATTAGTGTAGATTATTGATTAATATAATAGTAGTCCCAGTTGACGAATGCGGAATAAATTATTACCTGCGTGACGGTCAGAAAGGTACAGGTGACGAAACAAGAAATTTTGGGGCAGGTGACGAATCACGAATTGACGAAACAAGAACAAATCCACATTTTGATACCCATTGCAACAGCGGCTATTTTGTTTCTACATAGTCCAGCCCTGTTCATAAAAACAATTAACTATAATATGTGCTATTTTATATGATTATACACCGTTTCCCGAGACATAATTATTAACAAATCGCCGAATTTACTTTGAAACGATGAATACATTGCTACACAAACTATTCATTATATCTTAATACATTTTTCCTGTCCTTCACGTGAAGTTATTATTGTATAGTAAAGTCGGGATTTCATAAGACCGAAATAAATGGTTTTCAAATCTGTTTAATAATAATAATGTTTATTTCCAAAGAAAAAAGGTACAATAATATCAATAACAAGTTGCTAAAGTAGATTTACATACAGTGCATTTCTTTAACGTCCCCCCTTTTATTTTTTGAATTGAATTATCCCAAATTGAAATTTGGGATAATGAAATTGATGCTTGAATACTTTATTTTGAAGTGAAATTGACAGATGAAACATTCAAGATGGCGACTGGATACCATCTGGAAAAAAAATTGAATGGAAATACTTCACAACCCTAGAATATGAAGGATTAAGAGCCTAGAAGGGGAGTGTTGCTACAATGGTGATCGGTGCTCTCACTCACGCCGCCAACTACGCGCAACCTATCTCTTTCTATATGAAATAATCTCTCATCACTGAAATCGACGAAGCGAATCCTAATGAATTCGATATGAATATTGTATCCCAACAAGATGGAGCACCACCATAGTACTCCAGACAAGTAAGAAACTATTTGGAAACTACTTTTTCCGGTCGTTGGATTGGCTGTCGAGGTGCTACAGAATGGCCAGCCCGCTCGCCAGATTTGAGACCTCTGGACTTTTTTTAAGGGGCTATTTGAAGCAAAATGTGTACAAAACTGAACCTTCTTCAATATTGGATATACGGTAGGAAATAATAAATATTTGTAGAGATATTCATGTTACTGTATTCGAAAATGTTCGGCGTGAAATATCGCCATTTTGTAGTAGTTGAAGATATTGACATTAAATTCTAGGATTGTGAAGCATCTGTCAGGAGCTTCAAAAATATATATCACAAGACCCCCTTTTCATTTAATTTTTTTCCGAGATGGCGCCAAGTCGCCATCTTGGAAGTTTCAACTGTCAATTTCACTTCAAAATAAAGTATTCATTCATTAATTTCATTATCTCAAATGTCAGTAAAAGGGGGGGGGGCATTAAAGAAACGCACTGCATTTTGAAATAAACAAATGAACCTGGCTAAGAAGCCAGGCTGTGGTTATGGTCCGTTTTACTTTTTAACATAATTTAGTGTAACTTGATACCAAGGCTTAAATTGTAACACATCAAGATGACCAGTACCTTACACAAAAACAGTGTAGGTATGCAGGTATGCATGACGAGTGATGACGGTTATAACATTTGAAACTTTGATAAAATTCGATAATTCTCTTTTGGTGCCACTAGTCTGAATTTTAACAAAATCACAACCAAAACTGGACTTTTTCCAATGATCAGAAATGCAATATTCAAGATGAAGTTTACATGTTTAGATCCTGTAGAATTAAAAAAATTTCTTCGAGATACTGATGAGGAAACTACGATTCCTTACCTATTTTTTGTTCTCGGTCTAAGTTCCGGCATGGCGGGAGGTCCCCAAGGTGTGTCCATGGCAATTTCCAAGGCGGCCATAGCCTCTCTGTGGAGATCCATGACAATATGGGAAAATGGTCTATTTTGCTGCCTCTTCGTACAATATCCAGATATAACCTAGAACAATATAGATATAGACACATCGATCTCGAAGTGAAGAAAGGATATATTCAGAAATTTTACTGAAGTTGCCTTCAATATTTTTTTTGTGTCCGATACCCACGGTTTGCCTTTGGGAAAGTAGCATTTTCCGGCATAGTCCGGGAAGTCTGAGGTGTTTTTGCACAAACCCGTTACCAATATTACAATTGCAACATGTGAATTTGAGTACTGGGCATAAACAGACATCAATAAAAAATTTAACTTGATTTTTCTACAATCAACACTCGCTTTTAAGGATGAAAGGGCTCCATATGATACTGTCTGTCGAGGAATTTACGCAACTCATAAGTTTCCGTGGTGTAGTGGTTATCACATCCGCCTAACACGCGGAAGGTCCCCGGTTCGATCCCGGGCGGAAACATTTTTTTTTTGAAGAATTTTATTCATTAAAACTATAGAACCTGAATATTAAATGAGATTTATTCATTAAAACTTTAAAACCTGAATATAAAATGAGATCGCATATAGACCAATATTTTTATCACTCGCCACTTATTAAAGAGATTACAAAAGGGAGGGCTAACTTATAAAAACAGTATTGTGAGCCTGTGAGTCATAAAATCAATTATCTATCGAAAGTGGGCCCTCAAAAATGTGCTGCAAGGTTGAAGTAACAAGAAGGAACTTTTCGTGAAATTCCAAAATGAGGTCAAGTCAGTGAGAGGAATAAGTTTTGTCCTAAAAACCATGGAAAGCGTTCGACCGCTCAATTTTTTTGAATGGAAATTTGGGTCGATGAAAATGGGTTGCAATTTATGAATCGTTGCCGTTTCGTTTTTGAAAATCGGCCTGAAAACGTAATATCAAATTGCAAAGAATATTTAAGAAAAACCATGACAATTCAACGGGGCTCTGAAGTTTAAACATGCGACTCCTCAGTGTGTACAGGGTGCCTCAAGATATATATGGATCTTTCAAATCGTGGGGCATCCACTTTTCGAGATTTTTAAACAACTTGATGAATTAATTCATTTAATACTTTACACAATCTATATGATGTGGAAGCTGTCTATTTTATCAAAAATCAACGCCGTGTTCAGTGTTGCCAGACCATTCTTTTTGCAGTAGATTGCCTGTTTCGACTTTCGATCTACAGATGACGCAGTAAAACTTATTAAATGACTACCATCGATGTAGTAATATTTTATTCTGTTTTTTCTGTGCCTACTGGTGACCATGGAACTAATTCCGCAACGTTATTACGGCTCGATTTCGTTCTTCACAACACATAATACAAAAAAATCTATATAACTCGACATTTATCAATTCAAAGATCATTTTTGATGAACATTCTTGGTTATTTTTTTAATATCAAATCCTTCGCGATGATAATTAGTTCCGGGGATTTCATAAATCGTTACAAACTACCCTTATAACTTCGACGAAGTTTCTGTTTGGGAACGGAGTTCGTTATTAAATTTATAGCCTTTCATAGCGTCACGGAATCTCGGCGATTTTATAAGCGATAACGATATTTTGCGTCAAATAGCGACAAAATTCAATTTTCGCTGGAGCCAAGTACCACATTCGCGAGTCGGGTGGCTTTCCGGACTTTTTTACTCTTTATCTGTAGATTCCGACTTTTAATTCACTTACCGGCTTCCGAAATAGCTAATTAGGTCTTTCGAGAAATTGCCTTCGATGTAGCATTTAAAAATTTAAAATGCGCGGAATTCGAGACTGAATCGCAGATTTTCGGTCTGTCGAGAATTAGTTTCATTCCATTGAATTACAGATTTTCGGTCTCCTGGGAGGTAGTTTCAGATTACGGGACGTTTTCAATGTTGCTTGTTTTTTAATGATCTCCTTCTATGAAATGTGAAATAACTTTTCTGCTCTACATAAGCGGTGACCCAATATCGCTAGCTACATGGATTAATTTGCTAGATGTCAAATTAGATACCAAAATATTTTTAAAGTAAATGCTGCTCGGAAGAAGTAAAACGCCTTCCGATTGGAGACCAAAACACCACAAGCCACGTTGAGATTGAGTCAAAAACAGCGAAGACTTATTTCAAACTAGAAACTTGTACAGCAATTCAGCAACTTTTTATGCTCCATGAAGCTGGAAATGGATCTTTTCTTGGAAAATTGTTCACAAACATACCCTGGGGATTCTGCCCAATAAAGAGCCATCTGATTGGAGACCAAAACACCACAAGCAACATTGAGATTGAGTCGGAAACAGCGAAGACCTATTTCTAACTATAAACTTGTACAGCAACTTAGCAACTTTTTCTGCTCCATAAAGCTGGAATTAGGACTGTTTTCTGAAAACTGCTTACAAACATACCCTGGGAATTCTGCCCAGTAAAGAGCCATCCGATTGGAGACCAAAACACCACAAGCAACATTGAGATTGAGTCGGAAACAGCGAAGACTTATTTCTAACTAGAAACTTGTACAGCAACTCAGCAACTTTTTATGCTCCATAAACCTGGAATTAGACCTGTTTTCTGAAAATTGCTTACAAACATACCCTGGGGATTCTGCCCAGTAAAGAGCCATCCGATTGGAGACCAAAACACCACAAGCAACATTGAGATTGAGTCGGAAACAGCGAAGACTTATTTCTAACTAGAAACTTGTACAGCAACTTAGCAACTTTTTATGCTCCATAAACCTGGAATTAGACCTGTTTTCTGAAAATTGCTTACAAACATACCCTGGGGATTCTGCCCAATAAAGAGCCATCCGATTGGAGACCAAAACACCACAAGCAACATTGAGATTGAGTCGGAAACAGCGAAGACTTATTTCTAACTAGAAACTTGTACAACAACTCATCAACTTCATCATATGTTTGGTAAATGTTTCTGGAATACTAATAGCGAGAAAAAGAAATGCTGTTAGTGACTCCCTTATCGATGTTGATGGGATAGCAAGTTTTCTCGGCATGTCTGCTTACAAGTGCTTCCAACTCTGAAAAATACTCAGTTTCATTGATTTTTTTTTTCAGTAAACTACCCAAAGCAGAGTAAAAAGCACCCCTTTCATTCACAGAGTACCTATAAATATCCGTCTGGCGATATATTTTCCAAAGAGGTCCTCTCACGTTAATGCAATGGAGTTTCGCGGAGCGTGTTTGCTTGGGAGATTCAATTTCTCGAAAAAGCTCTCTCCCACATCTCCTACAAGAAAATCCTCTCAATTCGATACATGCATATTCTTCGCGTTGACAAAAAGTTAACTTCATTTGCAACTCCACTCCGTGTTGTTGTCGATTTATTTCACTCGAGGACGGGGAGTTTACTACACTTCCTTGATTCTGATAGCACTTTGCTAAAGCACTTTCATTATACAAGGGTCAGGATTTATATATCCAGAAGATTATATGGAGTTAAATCACAGATGAATGAAAGGATCACAAATGAGGTCACTTTTCTGGCATCTCATACTTTATATTCGTTAAAAACGTTGACTTCATCAGATGGAAAGTCAAAAAATTTGATTTGATTGATTTTGTTTTCCTTCGTAAGTTTTCTACACCTCTTTTTGCATAAAGAAGAATAAGTAGAACCCCTCTCAATTCTTACAATACTCAGTTCCATAAAACTCGCTTTCAGTTCCATAAACCTCGCTTTCTCAGTTTTTGTGATATCTGATCAAATTCCCCGCAAATGATGTCCTATAAATATCACACCACCTTTTTGCCTGCCCCAATTCTCGCCTAACATAAACTCATTATTATCCCCGTATCGGAGTTACAGAAAGTTCGATCATTTAGACTTGCCAACCTGCTCACTTTCTGCGGATTGTGGATTTATAGCCTGCCGCGGATTAATCCGAATAATACCCCGCAACATCATCCCTCGCTAGCCCACAGCAGTAGATCGGAAAGGGAAGTGACGTGCGTTAATTCCTTATATTGGATTTTCCGTAGATTGCGAACCAGAATCAACACGCAATCAGACTAAACTGTTGATTTTCTGTCGGCAATTTGCCTGTTCGGACATTTGTGGACGAGGGCCTACTCTTCGATGATTGGTTTAGATGATGAAGCCGAATCTAGGGGCAAACAAAAGAAAATCAACAATATGCCAGTGTTGATCACTTCTGGATATGAAGTGGGACGATTTTTGACATTGGTTCAAATAAAACGACTACACCTTGTCAAAACTAGAGAGCCATGAGAATTAGGTGTACCGCAGGGATCGGTTTTGGGCCGCTTTTGTTCCTTATTTACATCAATGATTTTCACAACTATATGAAGCCATGTCACAGTGTACTATTTGCTGACGATACATCATTGATATACTCTTCTATGAATCATTCAGCTCTTGTTGATAAGTCTATGGAAATACAAGAAAAAGCAGAGCACTGGTTCAGTGCCAACAAACTCATGATGAATAAGGAAAAATCACAAAACATGATGGTTTCTATGGCTATGCCATTACCTGAATATATCGATGTATACTCATGTGAATGATATCTGATTTTTATTCCACAACGAATGTTTGAAATACAAACTGAGTAGAGAAAAGTATCTTCCATATGATTCAGTGTTCATATAGAAGTATTTGTTCCGAAAGAATTTTTTTCTTTCGTGTAATGAATTGTTTATATGAAAGTAGCTGTTTCAGGAGATCTTTCTTTCAGTTTATGCCTGAAAGTTACTTCTTTGCATGATCTACATATCCCTGTAAAGAGTTACTTATTTTCAAATTGATTACTTTCTTTCTTTCTTTGGAACATTCCCTCATTCTTTTTTTGTATCAAGATGGAGTATTAGAAAGTCAAAAACTTTCTTTCCCAAATATATCTATATCTAGTCTACGGCAGTCTACGACAGCTCCTGGCGAAAAGAATATATTCCGAAAAGAGGTGGAAAAACGGAAAGAATATTGGAATTTTTTCTTCGAACTCCGCAGACTCTGTTCAGACCACAGTCACAGTTTCTTGAATCTCAAAATCATGCCAGTCTGCCGCTCTGAGGCAGAAATATTAGCCGAAGG